TAATTGTTTTGTGTTTTGGGCCAACATTGATGAGTAAATCGTCTTATTACACCAATTTATATCAAAATCAGATATCGACCGAAGCGATATCTTGGAACCGATAACACATCAATCAAAAATTTCAATATTGGCGCCAATTTCCCGTACCAGTATTGTTGCATCCCTAATTACGATCTCAAGATTTGACAGAGAAATTGCATCTTTTTCCAAAACCGTTCAGTCCTAAAACAGCAACTCGAAAATGAAAGAAAAGGAAATGAGACAGTGGGAATGTTTATCTGAGCGGAGAGAATGTGGGGGGACACAGAGCATGAGTCACACGCAGAGGGAGCACTTTTTGGCACTAGCATCACAAGCTCAGCAGGGGGCGCACTCACAAAAGAGGCATCGGGGCATTTGTTTGTCTGTGTGTTGACATGAAGAGGATTTATAACACTTAAAGATAATTACACAGACACTAGCTGGCTTCCTGTGTCTTAATAGGTGCACTGCAAAACAACAAAACAAAATTAAATGTATTTTGTAAAGTGACACAGCATGACTTCTGTGATTTAGCAGAGACATTTACTGAACAAACTTTTCCATTATACTAAGAATGTACTGTTTTGTTTTTTTTATAGCTCTTTTTAAGACTCCCAAAGTGCTTTACATTGTTTTATTTACTCACTCCATACTTGCTGTTGGTGGTAAGATACTATTATAGCCACAGCTGCCCTGGGACAGACTGGATGAAGCAAGGCTGCCAATCTGTGTCATCTGTCCTCTGACTACCACAAATAAAACTATTAAACTATTAAAATAAAAACATGCACTTATCGGATTCATATTAGGCAATGTTTGTTAACGTATCTTGCCAAAGGACATAATGACAGAACTTTTGAGCAGAAATCGATCTTCTTCTATATTTTACAGTTTAAAGGTCCCATATTACACAAAGTTGACTCCTGTGAGCTTTAAGACCCCGTTTACACTGAAACGAAACGTGTATCACCGTATCACCCTGTCACCGTATTAGAAATGACAAGTGATTTCTGTGTCCGCAGTCCTTCCTTATCCACATAGCTTTGAGCATATGTTTTTACGTTTTACAGAAACAAAACTTAAAACTGCATGGCTAATTTGCATAAACTGAGCGCTCAAAAAACAGCTCGCTATTGTGCGCTGATGTGGTCAGCTTCTGTCGGACTGAAGGACACGACTCAGTGGAATATATGTGTTTTTTCTGTGACAGAGGGGTGTTCAGCTGATTATGAGTCTATTCTGTGCTTCTATCACTTTGGAGACGGTTCATGTTAAACTTTTCAGAGATTATACATCTGCAGGTCATACGCATAGACTGTATATATGAATATATTCTAGCCTCTTAGCGTTTTGGCGGTGAATTACTTCACGGCCCATAGACCTACATCAGAGTGTCAACGTTTTCAGGCGTCCACCCAGTGCCGAATCAGATTCGTACTCTGATGAATTCATGGGAGCTGGCGCCGCCAGATTGTTCCGTCTCTGGAGCCGTTTTCAATTAGATTAGGGTGGACGAAGACTGCATCTGCAACGAAAACAACTCGAATACGTACTAGTGTGGACAGGGCCTTAGTCATGTTAGAATCTTGTTACCTCCTCAAAAACAGACCTGGAGTTGTGTTTTGTTTCATTCACACGTTTGAGTAATTAGTTAGTATTGGTTTGTCCACATCTCCTAAGATCAAAATTCTCTGTTCTGCCTTGTGATGTCATGGCATGGTAGTTTTCAAGTTAACAGCTCATTTTACCTTTTGTTCATTAGATATTAGCAATTCCAGGGCTGAAATCATTGAAATGATTCTAGTGAAGATACATAGATTTTAAATACAAAGTGGAGTACTTCTGTATGAAATTACTAGGTGGAACAGAGTGTTTTATGTTTGAGAGAATAATTCAGTCTAAATAAGCAGGATTTGTGTGTTTAACATGTGTGAATTAAACAAAACAGAACTTCACGTATGTTTTTGATAAGGAAACAACATAACATAGTTCAGAATATAGCGGAATATGGGCCCTTTAACAGTACACTTAGAAAAAGTTTGGTTTACTCTTTTCACTGTGAGTAAGACCATAGGTGCCAAAGCTTTATGTTGACAGTATTTAGTTGATAAGAACACTTGAGATTCTTGAGTCAACCCTACAGATATGATTTTTGCTTTTCTAATTTTGTTGTCTACCTTTTGAAAATACCACATTTTGACAGTAAGTGTATCTAAATGTATCTCAACTTCAAATTCAAATCATTTTCGATCATCATTTTTAGATGTCATCTTTTTTGCAGTGTGCAGTGTGACTGGCCAGGTGCGACCGCTGAATCATTCAATTGTTTTGAGATTGATCTGAGTCCAAGCTTCTCCCTGACGTCCCCCTAAACCCACTCGCTGTGTGTATGTTAGACTGAGGTTTGAGCAGGGGCCAGGCCTATACTCAGATTATAGAGCTATTATTATGTGCATCATTACACAGACAGATTATGAGTCATTTAGAAGATATACTGTAGATCCTTTTATCGGGATAGAGTGATGCATAGGCTCAACACTGAAATAATCTAAGTAATAGTTTTTCAAAGGCCGATTCAAAAAATAACTACTAGGGATGGGCATGATTAATCGATTAATCAATAATTGATCAAGAATTTCATCGATTACGTTAATTTTAATCGACAAACCTAATGTAGGTTGCTGTGTGTAGCGTGACCAAACAGGTCACGTACATGTGTCTCTCTGCACTCAGAAGGAGCGAGCAGACACAAAGAGTCGGTCAGTCTGCAACGTACCGAAGCACAAATGTGTATTTAACGATGACTTGTACAAGAAATTCCATGCTTTCCGTTGCGTTCGGGACAAGTGTGAGGCCATGTGCACAGTGTATAAAGCAGGAACATATGTTTCGGTCTCCAGTGGGAAAAAGCTTTGCCAGGTGAGAGTCGCGCAATGTCGATGACGAGTCCCCACCTCCCACCCCCCGTACGGTGTCCTGGTTTTGACAAACGCAAATATGGTCACACTAACCTGTATTCCACTGAATCATGTCTTTTAATCCGACAGAAATTGACCGCATCAGCGCACAAGAGCTGTAGTTTTATGTTAGCGATGCGGTTTTAAGTTTCGTTTCTGTGAGAGTTGCACAAAACTGAATTAAACACATTATAATCTCAAACGGATTGATGTGGCTCTAGAGTCGTTATGTTTATATGTCGTAAAGTTGAATTTATTTATGCAGATTAGTAGTGCAGATAGTAATAATAATGATGATCATTTTAATATAAAAACTTCCGACGATCGATTAAGAAAATTTCATCGAATGCCCATCCCTAATAACTACTGTATACAAAGTCATATAGTGTATTTACTGCTGGTAATAGTACTCCAATTTACCCCTATTATTACTACTGCAAGTACTTCTACTGATGCTGTTGCTGCACATTTTGAATTTAAAGTAAAAGTGAACTTGTTATTTGTATATTGGGAATAATATTCACTGCAGATGCAAGAAATTACAAGCAGGCCTGGTTCTATTAATATTCACACTCTGACAACTGCGTGTGGTTATTACCTGTATTGTTACTAGTACAATGCAATGTCATGTGCTACTATTATTAAGTACTAAGTATTATAATTTTATAAATTGACTTACTCGTGTAAATATTTCATTTTCTAATGTTCTTATTCAAGGTAGAATTCAAATGGTACTCAACTATTACAATGACAATGCAACTATTACTTAAATAGACATTATGCAAATTTGACTTTTCAGAGCTTTTAACCACCTTATAGCAGTCTCTCTTTCTCATTTACCCTTTCAAAGTTGTATGTGGAGTGATTTGTGCATGTTTGAATCATCTTTAATAATTTATTCTCAAGATGCCATATTGTAGATCAACCTGTTTTTATTGCACCCACTGCTCTGTACTTTGTTCTCCAATTTTACTTTCTTAATTGGTGATATGCACAGGATTTGGCATAGTCATTTTGGTAAACTTTTTTTTTTTAATCATCCGAGGCTCACTAGTAGGGGTGTAATGATATCCAAGTCTCACAAAATCATCACAGTATGAAGCTCAAGGTACGATATTTATTGCAATATCGTGGGAAAGCTCACGATATGGTGGGGAGGCTCACGATTAGGGATGTAACAATATCCAAATCTCTCGGTACGATATTTTCACAATATGCATCTCACAGTACGATATTTATTGTGATATTTTTTGGAGGCTAACAAAACTGTGAATATGTTACTTTTTCCTCTTAAATGCTTCGACAAGACTTAATCCAAAGAAGTTAGACTTAAAAGTGCTTAGAACTGTTATTTTTTTTCTTGTAGCCTACACTGAAATGGAGCAAAGGATCATGGTCTATGTAGTTCCCTCTGTCTTTTTTCAGCTATTGCTGCACCATAACTCTTAATTTAAGCAAAGAGACTTGTAATTTGATATATTTTGATGGTCTATGATATTACTGTGAGAACTTTGACCAGACAATATCACGATCTTTTGGATATTGTTACATCTACTCACTAGCAGGATATCCATAGACTCTTTGTTGTCTGTTGATGATATTTACGTGACGTCAGCTCCCGTTGGGTACCGTGTTTTCTAATATGGAAGTCATCAGACATGTTTCTTTTATTACTTCACTTTAAATGAATATTGAGGTTTAAATGTGCAAACTCTAACACAATACTTCACTGGTGTCGCAGAATATACACAGAATATACACAGAATATACACTACACAGCCAGGGTCAAGCACAAAACGTCTTCTTTAAGTGACATATGCCATAAAAAGTACCTTTACAAGTGTCCCAGCCCTCATATTCAAATCACAAGTTTGCATCCTCAGCACAGATCGTATCAGGACAGTACATGCGCCATTGACTGATAAACATGTAAACACGAATGCTGAAATGAAATACACTTGTCCATTTGTAACAGTTCATTAAAAAATGTGTATAATGTTATTTTTGTTGTTTTTTATGCAGCCACATAAACCAGAAGACTCAGTTTGAAAACCCAGTGATGGAGGCCAAGAGGAAGACGAGTGGAGATACACCTACAGGGATGGTGCCATTGGCCGCTGCACAGCCAGGTAATGACCAACCAGACCTGCATATTATTTCAACTCCGGTTTGTATGATCAGTGTTTTCCATTGAATTTGCTGAGACTATAATTTTGATTTGAATCATTTCATCTCATATAATTTTTGGAGTATAAAACCGCTTTCTACCTCTATTTGATTTGACGAGTAGAGACTTTTATATGTTTATGAGGGATCACAACAGTAAAACTTTATTTTGATACTAGGAAAAAGGTTTGATAGTTGCTACCAATTTTGATACTGCAATTTTATTTATTTTTTTATGCAATAGCGTGTAGTTTCTTTCATAATATCTTGTAATGCTGCTGATTGTAATCCAAACCACGCTAAGACTATTTTGGAAAGGTTTTGCATAATTTTGTTTTTGTTTTACTAGTGTTGTTTTTTTTTTAAACAACAGTAAGCATCAGTCGTTTTGATGGAGGGAGGCTTATTGTCACTAGCAGTCTCATCTTTCATATTACGTTACATTCTGAGCTGTTATAATGTTGTTTCCATCACAAACATACCTGGAGTTTTTATTGTTTTATTCACACATGTTTAAAACTCCAACTCTGCATATTTAAATTGAGTTCTTCTCTCAAACAGAAAAGACTCTGCACCAACTTGTGATCCCATGTGGTAATACAGAAAGTGCTCCACTTGTTTTTTGAACTCCATACGCCTATGATTTCAGCTCTGGAATTGCCGATCTCGACTGAACTAAAAGCAAAAGGTCGCTGTTAACTTGAAAACTATCACTACATGGCATCACAGGGTGGAACAGAGCATTTTGAGCTTTGGAAATGTAGACAGGCTCATAAAAAAGGATTCAAAATTGTGTGAATGAAACAAAACACAACTCAAGGTTTGGTTTTGACTAGGTAACAGCATTCTGACATTTTTTCTTTTTCCTCCGGCGAGCTACCTGTACAAAACAAAAATACCAGAGAGCCACTAGTCATAACAAAGTGAGTATATACGTATAAGAGCCATGGCAAGTCTTAGATGAGGTGCAGTTAGATGCCTATAAAAAAAAAAAAAATTAGGGTGTAACAATATCCAAGTCTCATGATACAATATTGTCACGGTATGAACCTCACGATACGATATGATAAGGTACGATATTTATTTTGATATTGTGGGAAAGCTCACGGTATGGTGGAGAGGCTCACGATTAGAGTTGTAACAATATCCAAATCTCTCAGTATGATATTTTCACAATATACATCTCACGGTACGATATTTATTGTGATATTTGTGGAGGTTAGCAAACAAAATTGTGAGTATGCTACTTTTTCCTCTTAAAATGCCTTGACAAGACTTAATCTAAAGAACTAAGACTAATCTAAGAACTTTTTTTAGCTATTGCTGCACCATAACTATTAATTTAAGCAAAGAGACTTGTATTTGAATATACTGTGATGGTCCACGATATTATTGGGAGAACTCTGACGATACGATATCAGGATATTTCAGTTATTGTTACATCTCTAAACAAAACCATTACAAAGTTAGGAATGAAAATGATACATGTACAATGGTAAAAGGCATTTAATTGATCAGATTTTACTTATTCAGCACAATATGTATAATTCAGAATTCCCTTATTAAGGCAAAGATGTTCAGAAATCCCTTGGCAAGCCACTTGGAAGGGGTGGAGAGCTACTGGTAGACCCCTGGCTTCAAGCTTACGAGAGGCAATTTGCGTAATATACTACCTTTACATTAAATTCAATCTGAACTTTGACTTTTCTATAGTTTTTAGATTGTTATAACCATTAATATCCAATTATTATATATTTTGAATAATGAAAATTCCTCAAAATGTCAGCTAAAACAGAAATCTGAAAACCATGAATTAATACTTTTGGTGAATTTCCATGCGGTGCTGCTGCCATGTTTATAATGACATTAGTTTAAATCATTAAATAGATTAAATAGCAACATAACATTTTTTCACACAGCAGTTCATAAATAAATCACACTTAAATGACCAGCTCCATAGCTCCATCTGCTTTTGGGCTTTGAGATATTAGCTGTGGTGCCCCATAGTAATGCACTTCTATCATTTCCTTGATGGGGGCTGTCAGGGTAGAAGATGGTCAGATAGTTGACAGGTCTCTGATAAACTGCCCATAGCCTCTGAAGCAACGATTTCCAATTTGAATAATGGATCCAGGCCCACACGGCACGACTGGGGGGTGGGATGGGGGGAATTCATTTTGACAAGTACATATAAAAAGGGAGGGCGCCGGGGTCCGTATTAAAAAGCTTTGCTCCGGATCAGAACAGTTCAAAGACGTGTTAGAGGAGAGGTATTGAAGGAGAAAGATGAGGCTCAGACCCAAGGGACCTCAAATCCAATTGTTTTGTTATTTGGTTATGTTTTTGATCAAGTATTTTGTCCTCTGTGTTTCACATCACACACATGCTTCAAAATCTTAAAAGAAAGATGTTATGAGCAGGAATTATGCATGTTGGAGATATTAGAGAAATTTGCATACTTATCTGGTTTAAAGTCCTACATTACACAGAATTTTCTCTTGTGAACCTTTAGCCATATTAGAAAGTTGTGTTTTGTTTCATTTGTTTCACATTTTTGAGTAATCGTTTGTTCTTAGGCTGCCTACATCTCCAAAGCTCAAAATGCTTTGTTCCACCTTATGATGTCATAATTGGTAGTTTTCAGCATCTTAACCTTTTACCTTTTCTTCAGTAGAGATTGCCAATTCCAAGGCTGGAATGATTCAAATTATTTTAGTGAAGGTGTATGGAGTTTAAAAACGCAGAGCACTTTCCGTATTACTACATGACATCACAAGGTGGAGCAGAGTGTTTATTGTTTAAGATAAGAACTCATCTTAAATATGCAGGAATTGTGTGTTAAACGTGTGGATGATAAATAGTCTAACTTTACTGCTCATCTGCTTGTTTCTATGGAGATGCTGTAGGGGTTAAATGTATCTATCTTGGATTTAGTTAAGTAGAATCATGTTTTTAGTGCAAAGAAAATACATTCTTACTGTGAACTGGCTCAGCTTTCCACAGATCTGATGTGTAACTTGACCTGATGGCGCCTGCGTCTGAGTTTAAAATCATGCTGTGGAGCATTCCAGGCAAAGCAATAATAATAAATTATAACTCATACATAGACTTTGATGGATACTTCACAGGCCTTCACAAACATTTTTTTGCACCATTTTGATTATAACACAATGATATAATTACATATCATTTGTCTTTGGGCTATGCCTCTTGACAAGTTCATTTCAGCCATGTTTACATTTTAAAATGAAAGTTTGGTTGGTAAAAACAGTAGCCTATTAACACTGGTTGGTGCACAAACTCTTACTTGGATGCCCTTACTGTTGTTGTGCTTTTGGGCTAGACACTTAATAATTACACAAGCATCAGTAAGTGTGACTATGTAGTACAGGGATGCTCATTGTGATTCTCATGAGTCACATGTGGCTCGCCAAGCTTTAATTGGTGCCTCGCAAGCTTATACCAAAAAATAGTAGCACAGCCAATATGTTTTCAAATGTGCTAGATAAACATAGTGAATATTACAACACAAACATCTGCATTACACCAAGTATAAATCAAGGCTTAATTAATGGCGTTTCCTAAAGGGGTCACCAGGACACCAGCAACCAGTGACGCGCGGGTCCATGTATAAACGACCTGTACCCGACCAACGTTTTCAACTAACCCACCCCAAACAGCAAAAAAAAAATTAAAAAATGTAATATATTGTACCTGACCCGCTGCCTGACCCACATTTTAAAAAGTAGTCCATGCTCGTAATTAAAATCATCTAAATAAAGGGACCAGCATAAATAAAGCTGAGTGAAATGAGTGTTAAATAGAGATGTGCTAAAAGTTTTGCTTCTTTAAAACGTAATCAAAAGTGTCAAGGCTGCATTAAACACATTATAATGTCAAACGGGCTGATGTGGCTCTATAGTGGTAATGGTTTATATGTTGTAAAGTTGAGTTTATTTATGCAGATTAGCAAGAGTAATAATGCATGCCAGTTTCCGCTCATCCCAGTATTAAGGTAAATATGGTTTTAATTAAAAATATATTGGCTGTGTTTCTTTTTTGTGGGATGTAGGAATGCACATTTGCAAAGGTGACTTGCTATGCTGGCGTATGTTGGGTATAAGTGGCTCTCCTCTTGATTTCGCTCTTCCAATGTGGCTCTTGTGAAAAAAAATAGTATCACTGTTATCTTAGAATGGAGCATGAAGTTTATAATGCAAAGTGGAGTGTTTTGAGCAGTTAAGGCGCAGTATTTGCAGTACATTGTGAACATAATCAGGTTGTTTGTTGTGTTTTGTTTGTGCGGTCAGTAGTGGACGATAACACCAATGGGAAAAGCCTTTATAGCTGCACGTCCTTAACACATGTGAATGAAGAGCCATTATAACTCTACGCATTCAAACATGGCCACATTACTGCAGAGTCTCGCCTGCGTATTTCACACACTTGATTGGATTCCACTTCTCTCTGCGGTGCTAGGCTCATATTGGCTCTGTCCCCTCTCCACCTCTCCTCCATCTCTACTCCATCTCTCCATCTCCTCTCTCCCCCCCGAGCTCATAACCAGGGCTTGTTAATGAAAACTAATGACTGCCAGTGTTGTGTTTTGACAAGCCCCGACCTCTCACACAACAGCACAGAGCGCACCAAAGAGAAGCGGACATACATTCACGCCCCCATAGTGTTGTAAAATGTATTCATTAGGGATGCAACGATGCGGTTTTCCCACGATTCAGTATGGATCTCAATACACGGGTCACGATATCGATTCGAGCTTGATACGTTTTAAGACACAAAAACAAAATCTCATCTCATTTTTTTCTGCTAATGAGGTATAATATAATGAAATAATACATGCACTATATAAAGTTCTGCAGAGTTATAGTTTGAAGGGTTTTAGTCCATTTGGTTCAATGATTCACAGTGTTTTTATTCAGTGAAAATAAGAACAGCGCTTTCTCGG